TGTCCCACAGATTTTGAACCGTTGTGTTTTCATTATCATTTGTTTCCTTAAATTTTTTCAATTCTTCTTTAATTTCCTGGTTGACCCATTCATTCTTTAGAAGGATGCTGTTTAGTCTCCATGTATTTGGGTTCTTTCCAAATTTCCTCTTGTGATTGAGTTCTAGCTTCACTGCATTGTGGTCTGAAAATATGCAGGGAATGATCCCAATCTTTTGATACCGGTTGAGACCTGCTTTGTGACCCAGGATGTGATCTATTCTGGAGAATGTTCCATGTGCACTAGAGAAGAATGTGTATTCTGTTGCTTTGGGATGAAATGTTCTGAATATATCTGTGATGCCCATCTGGTCCAGTGTGTCATTTAAGGCCTTTATTTCCTTGTTGATCTTTTGCTTGGATGATCTGTCCATTTCAGTGAGGGGAGTGTTAAAGTCCCCTATGATTATTGTATTATCGTTGATGTGTTTCTTTGATTTTGTTATTAATTGGTTTATATAGTTGGCTGCTCCCACATTAGCGGCATAGATATTTAAAATTGTTAGATCTTCTTGTTGGACAGATCCTTTGAGTATGATATAGTGTCCTTCCTCATCTCTTCTTATAGTCTTTGGCTTAAAATCTACTTGATCTTACATAAGGATTGCCACTCCTGCTTTCTTCTGATGTCCATTAGCATGGTAAATTGTTTTCTACCCCCTCACTTTAAATCTGGAGGTGTCTTCGGGTTTAAAATGAGTTTCTTGTAGGCAACATATAGATGGGTTTTGTTTTTTATCCATTCTGATACCCTGTGTCTTTTGATTGGGGCATTTAGCCCATTAACATTCACGGTAATATTGAGAGATATGAGTTTAGTGCCATTGTATTGCTTGCAAGGTGACTGTTACTGCATAATGTCTCTGTTCCTTTCTGATCTACTACTTTTAGGGTCTCTCTTTGCTTAGAAGATCCCTTTCAATATTTCCTGTAGAGCCGGTTTGGTGTTTGCAAATTCTTTCAGTTTTTGTTTGTCCTGGAAGCTTTTAATCTCTCCTTCTATTTTCAGTAATAGCGTAGCTGGATATAGTATTCTTGGCTGCATGTTTTTCTCATTTAGTGCTCTGAATATATCATGCCAGCTCTTTCTGGCCTGCCAGGTCTCTGTGTATAAGTGTGCTGCCAATCTAATATTTTAACCATTGTATGTTACAGACTTCTTTTCCCGGGCTGCTTTCAGGATTTTTCTCTTTGTCGCTAAGACTGGTAAATTTTACTATTAGGTGACGGGGTGTGGACCTAATCTTATTGATTTTGAGGGGGGGTTCTCTGAACCTCCTGGATTTTGATGCTTGTTCCCTTTGCCATATTGGGGAAATTCTCTCCAATAATTCTCTCCAATATACCTTCTGCTCCCCTCTCTCTTTCTTCTTCTTCTGGAATCCCAATTATTCTAATGTTGTTTCGTCTTATGGTGTCACTTATCTCTCGAATTCTGCCCTCGTGGTCCAGTAGTTGTTTGTCCCTCTTTTGTTCAGCTTCCTTATTCTCTGTCATTTGGTCTTCTATATCGCTAATTCTTTCTTCTGCCTCATTTATCCTAGCAGTGAGAGCCTCCATTTTTTATTGCACCTCATTAATAGCTTTTTTGATTTCAACTTGATTAGATTTTAGTTCTTTTATTTCTCCAGAAAGGGCTTTTATATCTCCTGAGAGGGTTTCTCTAATATCTTCCATGCCTTTTTCGAGCCCGGCTAGAACCTTGAGAATCGTCATTCTGAACTCTAGATCTGACATATTACCAATTTTCTGTATTGATTAGGTCCCTAGCCTTTGGTACTGCCTCTTGTTCTTTTTTTTGTGGTGAATTTTTCCGCCTTGTCATTTTGTCCAGATAAGAGTATATGAAGGAACAAGTAAAATACTAAAAGGGTGGCAACAACCCCAAGAAAATATGCTTTAGCCAAATCAGAAGAGATCCCAAATCATGAGGGGCGGGGGAGGAGGGGATATAAAGAGGTTCAGAAAGGAAAAAAAAAAAAAAAAGAAAAAAGAAACAAAAAAAGAAAACCAATAATGAAAAAATATAAAACGGAGTTAAAATATATATATATATTAGATAAACTAGTTAAAAAACGTTTAAAAAGAAAAGGGTAAAAGTTAAAAAAATTTAGGAGAAGAAGAGAAAAAAAAATTGAAAAAGAAAAAAAATTAAATTAACTGCAAGGCTAAAGAATCATGGGGAGAAAGCCATGAGTTCTGTGCTTTGCTTTCTCCTCCTCTGGAATTCCGCTGCTCTCCTTGGTGTTGAAACTGCACTCCTTGGTAGGTGAACTTGGTCCCGGCTGGGTTTCTTGTTGATCTTCTGGGGGAGGGGCCTGTTGTAGTGATTCTCAAGCGTCTTTGCCCCAGGCGGAGTTGCACCGCCCTTACCAGGGGCCAGGCTGAGTAATCCGCTCGGGTTTGCTTTCTGGAGCTTTTGTTCCCTGAGCGCTTTCCGTAGAGTTCCGGAGGACGGGAATGAAGATGGCGGCCTCCCAGTCTCCGGCCAGAGGAGCCAAGAGTCTGGGGCCCCACTCCTCAGTGCGCCCTCAGAGAACAGCGCCCAATTGCTCCCGTCACCCTGGCCTCCAGCCGTGCTCCGAGCTGACCGAGCCTGAGACCAGTTCAAGGTAAACCCGAGCTTAGAGCTCACTCCTTGGCTCTGTCTCTGTAGCCGGCTTCCCCGTTCTAATACCTGTAAGCTCTGCGACACTCAGACACCCCCGATCCTTCTGTGACCCTGCGGGACCTGAGGCCACGCTGACCCCGCGTGGGCTTCACCCCGGTTAAGCCTCTGGAGCGATGTCCCTCAGCGGAACAGACTTTTAAAAGTCCCGATTTTGTGCTCCGTTGCTCCGCCGCTTGCCGGGAGCCGGCCTCTCCCCCCGCCGTCTATCTTCCCGTCGTTTGGATTCACTTCTCCGCCAGTCCTACCTTTCAGAAAGTGGTTGATTTTCTGTTTCTAGAATTGCTGTTCTTCTCTTCGATCTCCCGTTGGATTTATAGGTGTTTGCAATCTTTAGATAAGCTATCTAGCTGATCTCCCGCTACCTGAAGTAGTCTCAGCCTGCTACTTCTCCGCCATCTTGACTCCTCCCCCACTTTGTGATGTTTTAACTTGCCCTATTCCCATCCTCTGTCTTATAGCTCCACAATAATATTGAAAAATAACGTTCTGTATTTGCAGTGAAAACTAGTAGCCTGGAAGCTACTGGAGAGAACAGTGATGGACTGGAGCTCTTTCAAAGCCTTATTCCCTAAGAATTGTCATTATTTGGTCTGTTTGGTGGTTCCTTGGAATGAGCCTTTATATCAGTCCCCCTTTATGTATGAACGAATGAATGAATAAATAGATAATTAATGAGTGTGGAAAGATGAATGAAGAAATGAACTGAAATAAGCAGAAAACAATAAGAAAAAAATTATTATTTGGAGTATTAAAGAACTATGCTGCAATGGTCGACTAATAACTAGTCACCAGGACACTGATTAAAAAGAATAGAAAGTGCATTAGTAAAAGAGATGAGATGAGAATTCTGGTCCTTACTTCTTTACTCTTGGTACCTGCATGAGCTTTTTGTCCCTGCTGGAACTGAAAGTTTCCAGAGAAAACACAGACAACATGAATTGTCCTCTAAGATTTTATGAACTAGTGTGACAGCACAAAATATCTTTCCTAGAGTCTCGGAGTCCATTTTACTAATACAGACTAATCCCTAGAAAGCCTAAAATTAAGAACTGAAAATGTACTCAAATTAAATAGTGGAAATACTGGACTTTGCCTGGAGTTTTTTCACAGCATAAATACTTCATGTTTTTATTCTAAAGCTCCATCTTTTTCTGGATCCCAACTAAACTTTTTTTTTTTTTTAACAGCAAATGGGAAGTTTGGTGTCAATATCTTAACAGATGGAATGGATGGAGTAAAAGCTATTACAGGTAACATCTTAGAAAAACACCTAAGAGTAAGATGCTAGTAGAAATCTGAGAACCAAATTATTTTTCACTAAGTTATAATATAATGCTCTTTCTACATTGTGATTGTATGGACTTTAAAAATCTATCCCTAGACTTCTTTTAAAAATGTGCATGCATAAATGCCTACAGTTAGATATTGGATTATCAGAACTTTTAGCAATAGAACTTCAATATTCTTTCTTGTTTCCAAAGTCATAATCTAGAGTCTTTGCCAATAATTAACATATCTTCTTTTATGGTGGGAAAGCTAAATTCCAGTTCAACACAGTAAACGGTGAAGGAAAATTTTGGTAAAGTTAGAGGTAATCTCAAAATCAGCAATAAAGGTGCTGATGATATTATTTAGACCAGCAATCTGTACCATTCTAACAAAAAAAAGTGCTGATAAAGCTATTTAGATCAGCAGTCTATATCATTCTAATTTCCTGCAAACTTTATACTCATAATTGCATGTTCTGTTGCCTTGCCTATCATTTGGAGATTATACTAGACTTAACAAGAAAGTTTATTTGAAACCCCAAAGGCCCATTTGTTAGGTTAAGTCTCTTTTCATCCAGCAGTTGGCTGTAATGCTGCAAAGAAAAATTTTTTTAATTATGTGGAATCATGACATCATTCACAATAATGACAGAAGTCTTCATTCTTTTGCTTTGAAGGAAAGGTTGATATAAATGACATGAAAAAAGTTCCAGGAATCGTGGGGAGAGAACTCAAAGATAAGGAATATGAGGTGTTGGTGAATAATCTGCCAATCGATGGTGAGTATTTCTATAACAGTTCTATTTCCTAAGTGAAAATGAAAGATTGTCCAAAAAATTTTTTTAGAAGGCATTACTTTTTTGTCTTAAGAAGATATACCAGCCGTGTCATCTCATTTTTAGTTTGGGCATCAGTTGGCTCTAGTCAGGAATCCTATGACCATGGATGAGAAATGCTGGCGATTATTCTTAAATCCATTGTGAGTCCTAAAGTTTAAAATGAGAATTGAGAGAAAAATGGAGGCATTGTAAAGTATTAAGTGGAAATAAATGAGAAATCACAAAGAATAAATGAATGGGGAGTGTTCTGCCTGCTAGACAGAGGCCCAGCAATAACTGTCCTAAGTGCCCATAAATGAAGAGTGGCCTTATTTTTTCCATTTCACGTATTTTTAAAAACTATTGAAAGTACATTTGTACTTTAGGGAGATGTTAAATCAGACTCTGTGTAATGATGGCTTCTCTGTTGTCTTAATGAAACTTCATATCATTTTGGCGAGATTTTGATTTGTATCTTTCTTAAAGCTGATAGATCTGTCAGAATAGGCTAATGGGTGGCATGAAGGCCTTTTTAAAGTCTATTTATTTTTAACTGAAGTATAGTTGACATACAATATTAGTTTCAGATATACAACATAGCGACTCAACAATTACACACATTCTGAAATACTGTGATAAGTGTAGTTATCATCTGTCATCACACAAAGTTATTACAGTATTATTGACTATATTCCCTATGCTATGCTCTTCATCCCTGTGACTTATTTTCTTGTACCTCTTCATCTTCTTCACCTGTTTCACCTATCTTCCACCCAACTCTACTTTGCAATCACTGTTCTGAGTCTGTTGTTATTTGTTTGTTTTGGTTTTAGATTCCACATATAGGCAAAATCATATGGTTTTTCTCTGTCTCACTTAGTTCACTTAGCATAATACCCTCCAGGTCCATCCATGTTATCATGAATGACAAGATTTCATTCTTTTTTGTGGCTGAGTAGTATCCCATCATGTATATATACCCCATCTTCTTCATCCATTCGTCTACCAGTGGACACTTAGCCTGCTTCCATATCTTGGCTATTATACATAATGTTTCAGTAACATAGTAGCATGTATATCTTTTCAAATTAGTGTTTTCGTTTTTTTCTCATAAATACCCAGAAGTAGAATTACTAGATCATATAGTACTTGTATTTTAAGTTTTTTGATGAACCTCCCTACTATTTTCTAGAATGGCTGCATCAATATACATTCCTACCAATAGTACACAAAGGTTCCCTTTTTTCCTCAACTTCACCAACACTTACTATTTCTTATCTTTTTAAAATTTCTTATCTTTTTGATATTAGCCATTCTGATAGTTGTGAAGTGATATCTCATTTTGGTTTTGATTTGCATCTCCCTGACAATGAGTGATGCTGAGCATTTTTTCACATGTCTGTTGGCCATCTGGATGTCTTTTTTGGAAAAGTATTCAGGTCCTCTGCCCATTTTTAAATTAGATTATTTATTTATTTTTTGGTATTTCGTTGTATGAGTTATTTATATATTTTGGATTTTAACCCCTTGCTTATTTAACACCTTACTCATATACCATTTAAAGATGTCTTCTCCCATTCTTTAGGCTGTCTTCATGTTTTGTTGATGGTTTCCTTTGCTGTGCAATGAAGGTTTTTCAAGATAAAAAAAAAAAGACATAAGATAATAAATTTTAATACTTGCCACCTTTCAAATATTTTGATAGCACGTTTATGCTTCTTTTAATTCATCGGCCCTTTTGTGGACAACCTACATTATATTTGGGGGGATGGACTTCCATTATTTATAGGATGTTTACAATTTGTGGCAAAAAAGACAGTAAATCTGGTCTGAAGAGTGATTAATAAATAAAATGTAAGGGGACCTGGGTGGCTCAGGCAGTTAAGCATCTGCCTTTGGCTCAGGTCATGATCTCAGGGTCCTGAGATTGAGCCCCACATTGGGCTCCCTGCTCAACGGGGAGCCTGCTTCTCCCTCTGCCTCTGCCTCTCCCCTCTGTTGTTCTCTCTCTCTCTCTCAAATAAATAAATAAAATCTTTTTAAAAATAAGCAAAAAATTATTGATGGTTAAGGAAATTTACTCAGAAAAATTTCTCTGGGTATCGTCAACCAAAAAAAAAAGAAAAAAAAGAAATCACACTTATTAGATGAAAGTATGAAGTTTATTATCCCCCTACCTGTATTTCACTGAGGAGTTCATGGGTTCCTTTAAAGCTTTCTACTCTATGGACTGATCAAGGGAAGAGATTTTATTCTAACTCTTATTGAACATCTTTTAAATATCAAGAATTAATAGACATTAATAGTTTGGGTAACATTTAAGAGTCACTAAATTTTGGTCTTCTTCCTTTTCGTTTCCTAAGGAGGTGGGAACGATTAATATCGACAAATTGTACACTTTTCTGGAAAAGAGGTTGAATCTCAGAGAAAAGGAATTTAAAAGTTTGAGACTAAACATGCAAATTAACACTGAGCATTTAATATAACATCGAGCCACTCAGGAAGTCTTGGATTTATGAAGTGATGGAAAGAATCTCTAAAGCTACTAATTTGGGACTAAGAAGACATTTTGAAAACTCACAGAAGAACATGTCTCTAAATAGAAATAAATGCTATCCTAAAACCTTATGCTAAGTTTATTATATCAGCAACTTGTTTCACTGTGAATCAGAAGCAATGCTAAGGTTTCTAAAGGCTACAAAAAGCCAGAGAAGATTCAGGGGAAAGAGAAAAGCTGGGGACAGGGAGAATGGAAATAGAATGAAGAAATATTAAATTGAGAAATCAAATATAGGTCTGTACAGCAAACACTGAAGTAAAGGATCAGCAATTTCTCAGCAGAAATGACCTGGGAGTTCAGAAAAAGGAGAATGACTGTTTCTTCTTGTTTGGAATGATGCAGTCTGTGGTCCAAGACCTCTAGGTGCTAAACTATACCTTAGGCATGTTTTGCAATCTCAAGTTGTCCTATGATAAGGTAAAAGAAAAATAGGTTCTAGTTCTATACGTCCTATTAAATTTTTCTGCATAATTTGAAAAGACAGATGAGTCTTGATAGTCCTATTTAAAATGTTAAATGATAATAAAAAGTATGAATTATATTTTCTCTTTTTTATCATTAACACAGGTTAATTAAATTAATAATAACAGGCAAGTGTATTTTTAATATTTTGGAAATATTCCATTTCTCTCATTTTCTATCCCTATTGTTTTCCTAAGGAGGGAAGGTTAATGTGAGTAATTTGGACAGCATTCTGGGGGAAATGAGGATTAAGCTCCCACAAAAGGAATGGGAAAAACTGACAGAAAACCTGCTACTTAATGGTGAGTATCTGAGAAATGACTGTGCCTTGAAGGGAGTTTATGCTTGTGAACATGCATATGAGAATTTCTAAAACTAGTGACATTGGCACTCAGGATATAGTTTGTAGATCTTCAGGAAGGATTAATTCCTAATCCTAAGTCTCTCTAGAAAAACTTCTTTTCCCCCAACCATACCTATATTCTGAAAATTCATTTCTTTATAATTATATATCTTTAGATCAGTTTTCTCACTCAGATATTGAATTGTGTATTTGAATTTATGTTCTATGACCGCCCCTCAGACATCATCGATTTTGTCAGAAATTGAGTTCATAGTTTTCATTGTGGCATTTGACCAAAGCAGCCACATGAGGCCTTTAGAAATATGTTGGGGGCATATTTGATTGTCACAAATAATTATTATCAAGTGATTGTAAGAGTGGACACTGTTAGCATTAAATTCCTTGAGTGTCAGGGATACTAAGTGCTATGCAATTTGTAAGACTTTTCAACATTATGAAGAATTGTTCCTGAAGAAGATGCCAATGGCATGTCATGTCCAGTAGTTGAGAAACTCTGGATCCTGTGTTCATACTCTTTCACAATTTTTGTACCATCATTATTACCCTAGTAATATAAGCTAAAAGCCTGAGAGGAAACCGTTACTCACATTGCTCTAACTTAACTCGTTGTGTTACAAATGAGTACTACTCTTCCCTTCTATAAAATGCAAGCTTATTTTGGCAGAGACTATGCCTGATCCTCCAGTGTGCATCTTTATCCCTCCCCCAACAAAGTATCTTTTACATATTAGATACGTAATAAATATTTAATTAGTGAATGGAATAAATGAAAGGAGTTTCTACTCCAAATGAGAGGTAGACTGGCAATGCTGGGTAGTAATGGTACACTATGAACAGATGCCTCAGATATTTGCTGACTTTTGTACTTAATTAAACCCTTTATAATAATCTTTTACCAGTGGTTAGTACCATACGCTCTCATGGTTACCCCACACAAAATCAATTTTCTTCTGATATTATAGGAAGTACTGTTACCTTGTTTGCATTTAGGAACCCATGTTCTGAGGCAAGCTTGTAACCTACTATAGTCTATTCAATTCTCAATGACATGGTAGGAAGACAGTTTCATATACAATACAGAGCTAGAGACTGAAACTTGTTTTCTTTCCTTCTTCCAATTTCTTCTTTGTCCCCATTTTATCCCTATGTCCTTCTAGTCTGAGTCATTGGATGTCCCTTTTGGGTTATAATTTACTTTACTGGGACTAATTACAATATCATTATAGTCAGTAGAGTTCTCAAAGGACTTTGTGAGTACCAGATCACCTCAGAAAGAAACCCCATACCCTATAGCTCTCACCCTTTTATTCTTCCCCACTACTCCATAAGCCCTAGACAACTACTAATCTATTTTCTGTCTCTATAGAATTACCTATTCTGGACATTTCATATAAATGGGATAGTATGTGATCTTTGTGATTAGCTTCTTTCACTTAGTGTAGTATTTTCAGTATTTTCAGGTTTATCCCTATTGTAGCACATATCAGCATTCCATTCTCTTTTATTTTCAACTTATTGTGGTAAAAGATACATAACGTAAAATTTGTTATCTTAACCATTGTTAAGTGTACAGTTCACTTGTATTAAGTACATTCACATTTTTGTGCAACCATGCAACAACTACCACCATCCATCTCCAAAATTTTTTTATTTTCTAAAATTATAACTTTATATGCATTAAACAAAAACTCCCCATTCTCCCCTACCTGCAGCCCCTATCAAACATTTATTTACTTTCTGTCTGGATGGTTTTGACTATTCTGAGTACCTTATCTAAGTGGAACCATGTAGTATCTATTTTTTTGTCATTAGTTTATTTCACTTAGTATAATCTCCTCAAGTTTCATCCATGCTGTAATATACGTCAGTGTTTCCTTTTTTAAGGCTGAATAATATTCTACTGTATGTATATACATTCATTCATCCATCAGTGAATACTTGAGTTGCTTCCACATTTTAGTTATTACAAATAATGCTGCTATGAACATGGGTGTACAACTTCATTCCTTTTTGTTGCCAAGTAATATATTCTGTTGTATGTAGATATATTTTATCCACAGCCAGTTGATGGCATTCGGTTCTTTGCACCTTTTGGCTATAATAAACATTTCCAAATGTACACAAAAGTACAAAGAGTAATATAATGAACTCACATATACCTATCACCTAGATTCAACAATTATGAAGCTTTGTTACATTTGCTTCTTTTTAAAAAAATTTTTCTAACTGAAATAGTTCAAAGCAAATCCCATTTCATTTTGTCCCTACATTCTTCAGTATGCATCTCTTAAAAATATAGGCCATTTTTTACAAAACTGTAATACCATTATATAGTCTAATTTTAAATTTCCCTTCTTATCTCTAAAATATTTTTATAGTGAGTTTATTCAAATAAAAAAACAAATATCTTTAATTATAGCATCTGTTATGACACATGAATCTCATGTAATCTACAGCTGTTCATCTACCCTCTCTTTTTCTTTAGGCATTGATTTTTTTTGAAGAAACTGTTGCCAAATGTCTTGTAGAATTTCCCACATACTAAATGTGTCTGTTTTCTCATCTATCTTATTTGTCTGTCATCTGTATTCCTTACAAACTAGGAGTCAGCTCAAAGGGCTTAATTATTTTCAATTTCAACATTTTATTTATTTATTTATTTATTTATTTATTTATTTTTAGTTTCTACATTTTTTGACAATACTTTGTAAGTAATACCATGTACTTCACATTGCTTTCCATCAGGAAATACAGATCTAGTTTACCTTTTCTGAAAATGGCTCTACAATTGCCCCAAATTATTTACTTAAAAGTCTGTCAGCGGTCCCTTCAATCTGAGATGCCATCCTAATGATATACTTGATTTCTATGTGCACTTGTCTATTTTGGGAATTTCCATTTTGTTCTACTGGTCTCCTTATTCATGTTCTGAATTGCTTTGAATATAACAGCTTTATAATCTTTTAATATTGATAGGTCTAACCCCTCACTCTCCAGCCTTCATACGCATGCAGACGCACGCGCGCACACACACACAATTCTCCTACCCTTATTCTGGCTATTCTTTACGGAAACATTTTTTGTTTGTGATTTTTAATAGTAGGTTATTTGTCATTTGTTTTTTTTTCCCCATCTTCCATTAGCTGTGTAACATATTTCCTAGTGAGAAGATTGACTTCTTAGGGTTTAGAAAACACTTATGTTATCAGATAACTTATCATATGTACACATTTACTATCATGCCAGGTTAAAAATCCCAATATAATAAATATGAAGACATATAGCACACTATTATTTCTTGTTTTCTTTGGTACATAAATATTGACTATCCTTTCAAATTTAAATTTAACATAAAAATCTTTCACATTTAATATAGATCCGCATTATTCTGAGCCAAGATTAGACCATGTGGGGATGTGCCCACTTGGGTCTAGCTCGGGCCTTCATGGGTGCAGATGATGCCGTCCTTATGTGCCTCAGTAGGTGTGCACCAGTAAGAGCGCCCCACAGACATCCTGAGCTGCCCACAAAGCAGCTCAGGTAAGCAAGACAGCAACAGCACCTCTGCTTGGCACTAAGCCAATGGTTGCCCCCAAGGACTTGCCTGCAGCCCTAGACTCACTAGCAGGTGGAAGATGAGTTCCATGTGGTTCAGGATCCACCTCATGTTCCCATGCAGGTGCTTGTTTCCTTCCTCCCTCCTTCCTCCTCTTTGCCCCTTCTTTCCATTTCTAAATTGTTTTTTTCTTTTTCGGCTATACTGGGTAATTTTGTATTGTTTCCTGTTTCCTGCAGATACTTTCTAGCTTGTTTTCCATTGCTTTAAACATACTAAGCATAATAGTTTTATAATTTGTGCCTGATAATTTCCAAATCTGAAGTTTTTGTGAGCCTGTTGCTACTGCCTATTATTTCGCTTGTTCTCTCTCAGGTAAATTTTTCATTCTGTGTTTGATGGTGAGCTATTTTCCCTGGACAGTTATTGAAAGAACGCTTTGAGGCTAAGGATGGAAGCTCATTGCTAGGGAATACTTGCTTCTGCTGGGCATTTGGACAGAATCACCCACACTCCATGAGGCCATCATTACAATTCAAATCCAAATGGAGCAAATACCATCTGAGCAAAAGCAACAGCAGTGTTCAGCTCACCTCCCTAGGTTCTTGCTTTTCATTAGATTTTGCAGTAATAATTCCTTACTCTCTTATTAGCTTTTCAGTACTTTTGAAGAGATGCTTTTTACATTTTATCCAAGATTTCAGTTTCCAGCAGGAAGATTGGTCTGAGTAACGTAGGCCTCCACATAAATGGGAACAGAACGTGATTACAGATTTTTGTCAGGAGTTGAAGCATCTAATCTGGGAGTTCAGAAAAAACAAACAAACAAACAAAAAACCAAAAACAAACCCTCAGTATCAACCATATTTTGAATTTAACCTTTGGTATAAATGATTCAAAAATTGCCCGATTGGGAAGATTTCTATTTTAATTCTAACATCCTTATTGATCCTTTTGATATATACAAAGGGACTTTATTGAGTCTTGGTCTTTCTCATGAGGCTGATTATCATAATGCACTATAAATAATATCAATGGCCACATTTTGGAGTCAATAAGTTTCTCCCATATTCTTTTCTTTTTCACAGGAGAGATTATTGATGTCAATAAAGTGGGTGCTCCTTTGCAAAATATAGGGATGAACCTTTCAGAAAAGGAAATTAATGATCTGACGTATGATCTACCAGTTGATGGTGAGTATTTAAGGTATATTTGAATTGGTTAGTATGGGCTTCTTTAAAAGAATCTCTGAAAACTCTTAGTTGGCATTAAGAAGATGGAAACATTAAAGATGACTCAGACTGTAAGTAAACATGTTTTGCTCCTTGACATTTTCAGCAACTTTTTTTCTGCTTGGAGTATGGGCAGGGCCACTATTAGAC